AAATTATTGTGAAAGTTTGTGTAGCGAAAATAATTATAAATTTTTTTAAAAGAAAATACGAGTTATACATTTCTTTTTAAATAACACGTTTGATGCATTTTTAACTATTTTTTATATCTGTTTAAATCATTCGATATGCCTATAATGTAGTTCTGAAAATGAGTTTCAAGATGACATAGATAATTTGTAGATTCGGCTAGCGTACAATCATTGGAGATTTTTTAAAGTTAGCATGTTATCGAAATTCTCGAAATACTAGTTTGGAATGACTTGCTTTGACAGGTTGTAATATTTGCTATGGTTGGCCGTTTCAAGCAACATTAACAAGTAGAAAACTAAACCACAAGCACTTCGAAATGATTTTAAGAATGTAATATTTCTATTTCGTTTGACCTCTGATAATGACTTCTAAAAATTGAGACAAAAACGTAAAAAATTGGGAAAAAAACAAAAAACAAAAAACAAAAAAAAACCCAAGTCCCATGTCCACCCCTTTGTGCCCGCCCCTGCTCGTGGAGCATGGGAAAGATGTGAAAGCGTTGCAATGCATAGAATGGGAGAATTTTCTTTAATTTATTTCATGAGTATTATGAGCATCTTCAAGATTTTCTTTATACACAAAATATTCTTTAATTATTTTAGAGTGTCTATGCTTGAAAATAAGTTTTAATAGACTCTCTATTTTAACTTTTGCCATACACACTTTCTATTCTTGATTAACAATAATTGCATTTAATAAGTTACAAATTTCAATATTAAACAATTTAAATTATTCCAATCACTTTTGAATTGATTGGTCATTAACATGTAAAAGTATGTTAAACAAGAGATGGAGAGAGAAATCAATAAATTTTCAGTAGGGAAAAAAAAAAAAAAAGAGTTAAATACAGAGTATTATTGAAGTTCATAAAAAAATTTATTCTCTAAATCTAATAATAATCTCTATGCATACATAAGATGTTATTTATAATTAGAGAGTTTTCCAATCCCTTGTTACCTTTTCACATTTTTGTTATTTAAAGGTCACTGCCTCCTCTTTCAGCTCAAAGTCCCTGTGTGTGTGAGAGACAGAGAAAGAGAGAGGGATGGGTTCTATAGCAGGAAATGATAAGCCCCATGCTGTATGCATACCATATCCGGCACAAGGTCACATAAACCCTATGTTCAAACTCGCCAAGCTTCTTCACCACCAAGGATTCTACATAACCTTTGTTAACACAGAGTTCAATCACAAACGCTTGCTCAAGTCCAGTGGCCCCGCTGCCCTTGACGGTCTGCCGGACTTCAGGTTCGAGACTATTCCCGACGGCCTGCCGCCGTCTGATGACGACGCCACCCAAGACATCCCATCACTATGTGAATCTACAACCAAAACTTGCTTGGCCCCATTCTGTAGCCTGCTGACGAAGCTCAATAACGCAGCACCGGAGATGCCTCCAGTAACCTGCATAGTGTCTGATGGTGCCATGAGCTTCACTCTCAAGGCGGCCGAACAATTTGGACTTCCGGAAGTGACGTTCTGGACTACGAGTGCCTGTGGTTTCTTGGGTTACACGCAGTATGCCAATCTTATTGAAAGAGGCTACACTCCTTTGAAAGGTTCTATACAAACTATTCCATTTTCATCTCTCAGCCAAATCAAAATTTTTGTTCGGGATTTTCTTTAATTTCAATTCTTTATCCGCAGTCTGACTATATCTCTTGGTATGTTGTAATTTAATTAATATGCAGAAATGAGCCAGGTAACAAATGGTTATTTAGAAAAAACCATTGATTGGATTCCAGAGATGAAGGATATCAGATTGAGGGATCTTCCTACGTTTCTTAGAACAACAGATTCAAACGACTTCATGCTTAATTTCGTGTTACAAGAAATTGAGGCCGTTCCAAAAGCCAAAGCGATAATATTGAACACTTTCGATGCCTTAGAGCACGATGTTTTGGACTCGCTCTCATCTATAAACCCGGTCATTTGCTCAGTTGGTCCTGTGCAACTGATGATGAATCACATTCAGAATGAAAAGCACACATTATCCAGCTCGAGTCTGTGGAAGGAAGATTTAGAATGTATTAAATGG